AAGCCTGTTGTGTCATGTTTTTTTTTATTGAAAAATTAAAAAATATTGCACCAAACAGAACAGTAAGTGATAAAAGTTAAAAGATTCTGAACGAAGACTGTTCCAGGTGTCCTCCCCAGTCTCAGGTTTGGGGAAATGGTATATGAAAATTCACAGCAGCAGTGTTGCATATTCTGGAACATATTTCAAGTGCCTGCTGTGTGATAAACATTTACAACTTGGCTCATTCCATCTCCTTCCCCTCTGAATCTGAACTTGATCAAGTCTCCATATTAAAGCAACATTCACAGTGTGTTTGTTTTATCTCTGAGACTAGGACATGGCCTCCTGTAACAGTCACAGTCCTCTCCTTCTGCCAGCGCTTGAAGAATAAAAGTAAACCCACCAACAGGAAGGTGTTGGTAGTTAATGACTCATTGATGTCTTGGCTTCTTTGGAAAGGATCTGCTTCAACCACAGGGCCAGGCAATTTGTTCCAGACCCCCACCACCCTTTGTGCAAAAAAAGGAGCCTCCTGTCCTGACTGGAGGAGCTCACCCAGCTGTGTCTGGAGAGAAGCCAGGGTATCGGCTTCAACCACAGGGCTGGGCAGCTTGTTCCCCACCCCCACCCCCCTCTGTGTACAGAAGAACCTCCTGTCCTGGCTGGAGGAGCTCAACCAGCTGTGTCTGGAGAGAAGCCAGGGTATCGGCTTCAACCACAGGGCTGGGCAGCTTGTTCTCCACCCCCACCCCTCCAGACAATAGCTTCTGACTCGCTATCCAGCTGCAGGAAATGACATACATATATATACACACACCAAGACAAACACCCAACCTGCAATCTCTATCAAATTGAAAATAAACCTTCGTAAACCTACAATCACCATTCACCATCCCTTTGGTCAATGGCTTTGGAACAGTAGCAACTTAAAATTATAATGATTCTTAGACAATTTTACAAAGACAATAAAAACCACAATGAAAAACAAAGAAGTGCCCGACTCCGTGACAGCAGAGCTGAAACCAGGTTTTAAACCCCACATGGATCTGACAGCTCCCTCAGTACAACCATGAACACTGAGCACCTCACACACTCAGTTCAGTGCACGAGCAGCCCTGTAGCTCCATGAAATAGTTTTTCAAGAACACTTTTACTTCATCTACAGTAGGTCTGTTCTTCCCTTCATTACAACCAGTGAACATTTTCCTCAGTTTGCACAACAGCAAACTAAATGTAATACAATTTCAATGAATCTATCATCCTGGCCTAATGTAATGTTCAAGTTCACTGCAATTATACTCACAAACAGGTATATGGTTTAATGAAATGCTATTTAGCTAGCTCTCAGACGATAAGTAGTACAAAAAAAAACAACAATACAATTTTATAATACAATAAAACAAAGACAGAGACATTAGGCAGTGTGCAACACATCAACACAATGAAATAAAAGGATAGAAATGATGAGGAGTGAGCTTTTTGACATGGAAGGTAGAGGTAGATTTCAATGTGTGTTTGAGTTTGTGGTAAGAGAGAAGGTACTGTGAGGTTCAGATCAGAGGTGAGAGAGGCTGGGAGTTTAATAGTTTGATAGTGCGGGGATACTGCTTCAGTTGCTGGGCGTACACACACAGCTTTGGCTGAGCCCAGTTTATGTTCTCACTGCGACACAACAGAACACACATCACCCCTGTGCAGGCATCGCTGCAACAGCCTCCAGTTGGTAATAGAATACAGCTTAAAATCGGTGTGGACAGGACCTCCCCAAATCATTTTCTATTGTCCTAAAATAATGAAAATATCAAAAGACATCTTACATTTTAAACATATGGCACAAAAACAAAAAATATATATATAAAAAAATATTAAATGGTAATGTTTTTCATCACACTACAGGGGAAATCACATCTTGGCATCTAATCTTTTGGCAGTGTTATAATGAACAGCTGTTACCTGGCAGCAAGAGAATCAGATTTCCTGAACTGAATTAACAGGACAGGCCCTTAACTACTGAACCGCCATTCGAACCCCTGATCAGCTTACAAGACGTACCAAGTTTTTGCAAATGCTGGTCTTTCATGCAGTCATAAGATAAAACTTAATTACTTAATTACAAAAAAATATAATTCCCTGCGATTATGAACTCCCTACTTCCTTCCGGTAGAAAATCACCTTCAATTGCAGTTCCTAAATCTAGTTACTTCCAAATATAGTTTAATATTTTTATTGTCTTCTGTTTTACTTCAGTAAAACAAATATTTTTCTAGTCCTGCATGTTTTCAGAAAACTGTGCAGGTTCTTTGTGCAGTGACCCTTATTATTCAGAAAACCTGCATTCAGAATCCTTTTTATTCAAATAGGTAATGCATAAATTGTTTTTTGCATAAAATATTTTCTATTAAAACTCTAAATTAATTTATCCATCTCTTAAATCTGTAGTATTTTTTTACATTTGAGATTTTTGTATCCAGAATCACTTCTATATGTAAAGTGCTTTAAAGCTCTTTGAGCAATATAAAAAATATCTCCTAGGGGTCCAGATTTCTCTAATACTCTGTAAAAGACTGACTAACCTGTGCACAAACTAATCCATCATTTAAAGAGACAAACATCTCTCATCAGTGCATAATCCAGCCTGGAGTGTGTGATGCTTCCAGTATCTAGAGGTGCTGGATCAGTTTTTAAAAGTAATTCAGTGCTGAGTGCTACACATCTGTATAAAAAAATAAACTTCCAAGGAATTGTCTAAACCCGACAAAACTCTGGTTTCAGCTCAGTTCCCAGAAAGAGCAGGAGAACGGTCTAACTCCTGTTCCCTCTCACAGTCTTCTGCTCCCTCTCTCTCTCTCTCTCCAGTTTTTCAGATATTCCCAAAATCCCACAGGACACAGAGGCATCTAGGCTTCTGGTACCTCGCGCTTTGGTTCCTGAAAAACAGCGGAGCCGATACTCCAGTGTTTAGACACGGTCAGTAAAATGCACCATCCCAGATCAAGATTAGTGCTACAGGGAACTGGGGGAGGTATTGAGCCTGACAGACCGGCGGATCTGAGGAAGTCAGGAGAACGAGGATTCGAGGGAGGAGAGCAGAAGACCGTCGCTGTGGAGTCAGACTTGTCAGGGGGCAGAGTGTCGTACTGTGTCAGTGAAGGGCACACCCTGTAGACCATCACAGACT